CACACACACACACACACACACACACAAAGGCTTGAGCCCACCTACATTCTTTCAAGACAAAACTGCAACCTGGAAACTAGAGACCCTCTGCCCCCACACTGCTCGCTCTCATTTAAGTTGCCTTCTGAGCATAAATGCCACCCACAAACATTTTTGATGTGATGGAGACTACAAACAGTTACATCTAATTTCAGCAAAGTCCATGTTAGTCTTCAGCTTCTACCTGCTGGTTTAGGACCTGAATCATTTTCTGTTCTGAGCAGTTTTAAATGAAAACAATGAAAATATTGCACTCTTTCAGACACTGTGGGCTCAAAGTAAAATCCTGCATCTTAATGGAAACACCACAACCATGGCTAGAAGTAGAGAGAACTGAAAATGTCCAGTGTGACAAAAGTTATAATGCTAATTAAACAATGCCTGATTTTATTCAATGCTTGTCCCCTCTCCGCTCTGTAAACACAGCCTGCAGTTCATTCATAAAGGCCCGGAATTTTTGTTAAGTGACTGTTGCTCACAGTTAAAGCTGCAGATTTTTTTTGCTAATTACCGAATAAAGTTACGGCAAGTGATTTATTTTTGGCCTCTATTTTATGTGACATGTAGAATAAAGTGATTTTGATTAAATATCCCAATTTTAAGCTTTTCTTCCCTGATAAAACTGATAGTTCTAGTCATAGTATAGATAGTTCTAACATGTCTAACATGACCCACCAGGTCTTGGTTTAGAAGGTTTAAAAAAATAAATAAAAAACACAAAAAAACTGAAAGAAACAGCAGTTTTATCTGTTGGTCAAAAGTGGTTAATTTGGAAATCATTTCAGTTCTGTATACATCTTACTTCGGTTAAAGATCAAACCTAAAACAGCTTAGTTCTGGCCTTTTATAAAGAATTTTTTATTTTTTTTAAGTACATAAACTTTTGCTTTGCAAACAAATATATAATAAATTTGTCAATTTGAGAATCATACGGACTGAAACAAGTGTCTCACATAATTTGATCCAACATCATCTTTTTTTTTTTCTTTAACAGAAACATGAATTTTTCGGTGAAATATTGAGATTTTAGTGTCAGATTTGGTTCATTTTTCTGATAAAACAACATCTTACAGATGAGGAGTTCAAGGACCATCGGAAAGTTGAAAATCTGGAAGTTCTTTGTGTAGTTACCATTTCTGGTTCTGATAAATGCTATTTTGGGGTTTTGTTGTTGTTTTTTTATATAGATAACGTGTTTGAAACTCCAGGAAACAGAAACTTTCCTCCAGTTTTGTTTCTGATCTTCCTGTTGAGCTCCAGGCCAAAGTTCAGAGTCTCTGTGGATTGATCGTCGTGACACTGAAACCAGTCATAAAGCAACAAATACAGTCATGACTGACCTCCTAAATTTTGCAATTAATTTATTGTGTGATCATGGTTCCATTCTGGCCTGCCCCTGTTGTAATCCAGTCAACGTCTACTCAGAGCCAGAATGATGAGAGCACTGAGCCCTGAGAGGTTTCATATTGTTGTCTAAAGACTTTTTTTATCCATTCTTTTACTACTGCCACAAGGTAAACAGGCTCATAAAACCCTTTACAAGCTCAACAGACACATACAGTGACTGTCACAGCTCCCTGCTTCTCTGTTGAGACCTTCAACCCCAAGAGAGCGAGTGAGTCAGGTGAAGAGAGGGGAGCAAAATAGAGAAAAGCGAGGACGGATGAAGGAGGGAAGAGGAAAACTGAATGTAATTGCAGAAAACACACTTTCCAAAGACACACACACACACATATCGAGTGAATGTCTCTCCACTGATGAATGAGGAAAGCACTTGAGCAGGAGAGCCTGGCACAAAAGAGCTGCATAAAAAGGTTGTTCAAGACTGACGTTCAAAAACACAGGAAGGTTAACTCGGAGCACAGGGAGACAGAGTGCACATCCAAAGGTTTGCTCTGCTGTATATGTGGCCTTAATGTGTATGTGCAAATGTATTCATGCTCGACATCTATATTCGAGCGTGCATTCCTCTGATGGATTCTCCACCGAAACAGCAGCTGGGACAAACGGAGCCTCCAGCCAAGAACAACAGCTTTAAATCAGCTCACACTGAAATTGTTTGATTCTTCGTTGGGGTCACTGAGGTGTAGGAGGCTCGTAAATCACTGTGGTTAGTTAGTAAACTAGGTAATGGGCTCAGATTTATTTCACATTAATTATCAGATTTGGCACGACTGAGCAGTTCATCACAGTGTAGTAGACAAGTAGGATAGTAGACAGTTCACCAGCAGCCAACAGATGTTTCAGGGAGATTTTACTACTTCGGGTTTTGCCCGAAACCAAAAAACAAAAGCTTCAATTCTGGTTTAAAAATCATTAGTGATTAATGGACATGTTGGAATTTGTCAGTGACTGCTCATTGGTGGGGAATTCTCCATGCTGTGTTTTTCGAGATCAACGAAATATGCTCACAATTAGAGTCCTGAATTATTACAAAACACTGAAATTTTGAAGACTTTATGAACAATATATTTTCATTCTGACAATCCAGTTAAGATTTTAATTCAACTCTAATCCTACAGAACAAAACACATTCAGGAACACAAACAAAAAACTGTCAGAAACGGTGAGAACCTCACAGGTTGGAAACCACAGCAATTAAAGCTTAAATGGACTAGCCTGCAGGCTAAAGGTTAAATTGGGACCGGACCCCACCAAGGGGTCAGAAGATACATGCAAGTCAAAACCCACTGGGGAACCCAGACATTCCGCAAAACTTCTGAATCTTCCTGACACAAAATGTAGGAAGAGGAACAATACAAGTGTCTGAAACCTCTGGAAGCATTCTGACACTCAGTAGCAGTAGCACCAGTCCCTGTCAATTCAAACAGAATTCAATGATTATGTTGCTGCACTGTCTCAGACTTTATTTGAAACAAGGGTGATATTTGGGTCCCAGAAAGTTCCTGTAAGAGTATATATATGGATTAAGGATGTCCCAAACCTAAGCCTGATCGTCTGTTTATGTCTGCTGTCACATAGGTGTTGTAAATTTAAACTATTATCATCTATCAATAATTGATCAATTTGTAATATAAATTGAGTACACTGGACATTTGCCCTGGGCTTATATTGCTGCATCATATAAGGCAGCTGTCACATATGCTAGTGGGATCAGCTTGATTTAACACATTGGTGCTTGTTAGACATCATTAAGCATTGCAGAAGACTTAGTCAAGGTAGTCCTTTACAAGCTAAACCCCTTGGTATCGGCAGAAAAAACACTTGATAGGGTCATCCCTATTAGGTGCATCCATGTTTTATTGTAAAAATACAGTCTGTAGTCAACATTTCACAAATGTTTGAAGTCTTTAACATCAGTAAATTTAGATATGTAGCAGGAATGGCAATCCAAGGTACAAAGTTTAAGCTATTGTAGGTGAGATGCTTTTTTTTAGGGTGAAACCCCCCCAAAAATCCCATACATACAAAATTTTCAAAATTCAACCAAAATATTTTATAGAATTTAGTTTTGGGTTCCACATAACAAACAGGTAAACTCTGAACAAAGTCTGAGATGGTGCAGCAACAGTGTCATCTGTAATGGTACGGACTGACCCAGCAGGAGAAGAGTAAAAGCAGAGCGCCACAGCAGCACACACATTAGTCCACATGACACAAACACAGAGAGCAGCAGCAGACTGGGCTCGCTCAAATGACAACCATAACTGCAAAGACAGACACAGACATAATTTATGTACAGGGTTTTTCCTTCATGGAGGAATCTCTGGTACCACACCATAGAGGTTTTAGCAGGCAGAGAAGGAAAGTCACCAAAATGATTAGAATTGAGAATAAAATTAGCAATTCCACTTTTTAGAATAGAATAGAATAGAACAGAACTTTATTGATCCCTTTTGTGCAAACCTCAGGGAAATGGTTGTACTAGAAAACAACAACAAAACACCAACACAACATTAGTAATAATAATAATAACACTAATACCACAATAATAATAATAACCAGTTTTGTTAATCAGGGTTTCATTTACTCAAGGAAAAGAAACATTTTGGTTGACTACATAGTCAGAAATTCTATTTCTGTGAGTTAATGCAACACAGATTCGTTGACTTTACTTTACGTGAACAGATTTGGAGCCACCAATACCCTGATGCATGTTATTCGGTGTGTGTTTCTCCAGTCCTACCTGTCCAAGGTCCAAGGTGACGTTGACCTCGTTGTACTCAGTGCTGCGGGACAGAGGCGGACTCTGCCACCATCGCTCTGTCCCGTCGATGGCGTTGGTGATGGGATGGGCGCGATCACTGTCGCCCTGGCTGCAGATGTCACAGTACTGGCCCTGAGAAGACAGCAGCAGAGATGTATCGGAGTTTAAATCTGCAGCATAGCACATGAACTTTCAAATGGTACAGTGGCAAGAGCCTGAAGCTTTATTATGTACAGTATCAGAGCAAAGAGACAAGGTTGACATCTTGATGAAATGGTTTTCAAGTTTCTTGCAAAAACTGGGATCAAAGAAGATTCCTTTGACATGGCCAAACAAACTTCCGCTGTAGATGTTGGCAATGTGGGACACTTTGTTCCTACTGTTGAACGAGGGGATTAAGTAGCTCCAAAATATATCAGTCCTATTGTAACCACTGTGTGATGCTAATGAAATATGTTAGGTAATCAGTAATCTTCATCAGAATACTCTCAATGCAATATGTGAAAATAGTTTACTTTTGCTTTTACTTTTGGTCCAATTAAAAATGACATTCACACTATTTACTGAATATTCTCTGTGATAAATACTAATAGACATCAATTTTCTAACCTGTGTTGTATTAGCTGCAGTACCAGCTCTGTAAAATGGACTTTGCAGCAAATCAGGACCAAACATAAAGAACTTACAAACATATTGATGCATTTTCTGCATTATCAACTGAATGCATGCAGGTTCCCATTTCCTCAGCTGAAAAATCTCATAACTCAAAACGAAACACCAGTAAAAGATCTGGTGAAAGGGTGTCGCAGCTTCCAGCCAGTTTAAATTTCAAACTCTGATTAGAACCTCCTCTGGAGCAGGTGTGCTGTGCTGTTTCAGCTACCATGGTAATTAAGCAGGTTAAAAGAGCACCATCTTTGTGACACTGAGAACTCTGACTTATCTGAACCCGACGCTCAACATACCTGCTCTATGTCACTTTATCACATGACCCTAGGTGGTGTGTCTGATAGCTTCAACAGGAGAGGTGGAAGCTAACCAATGAAAATGCCTGGTAGTAGCTGTAGTTTTTAAATAACATTTTTCAATACACATCCCAAACAAACCCATCTTACAGTTTTTGCTCCCATGCTCTTGTTTACAGCTCTACTGTGGAGAACACATTTTACTTTGACAGGATGTAATTGATTAACACACACTGGTTATTGTGGGATAAGTTACAGTTTAGTCTCTCCAACCGCAGAAAAACAGCAGCACAATGTTCCCTGAAGAGAAGGGTTTTCTTTCATAGCTGTTTGTCCCAGAAGCAACGTGGGTCAAGTTTCTTATATTCCAACAGAAAGGTGGCTCCACTCAGGTTACTGAACAGAGATATTCCAGCTTGTCTTCCTGCTTCTAGGTTTTAATTTTTTCATAAATGTCGTCTAAGCCAGTCTGACTGTTTTGTGATAAAGTTGCACTTTATAGTCCAATAGAGCAGCCAGGTTAACTGAATAGGGGTACACAATCATGAGCATCAGCACTGTGTGTCACTAAAAAATTTAAAATAAGCAATTAAGGAAATTCAATTTTCAACTGTGGCTGCCTTGAAGGTTGGTACTGCAGGTATGTTCTAAAATCCAAAACAGCATGCGTCAACACCGTGTACTGAGGCAGAGGTGGACACGTCCACTTAAAGTAGCCTCTTCCCCCTCTTTGGTTTTTAAATCCTCCTCATTCTCAGCTAATCCAGTCTGGTTGTCTGAGCGTTTAACCTAACCAGTGCTGCCAGTGTAAGCGCTAACGTAAACTAAACAAGTGCAGACCTGAACAAAAGCCCGGGTTAGAAGATGTCATCCCTGCAGGTCACCGGGGTCAGAGGACACTGCTCGCTATCTGACTCCATCACCCACCCCTGCTTCTGCCCCCGTACTCCTCTCTGGACTTCCCAGAGATCATCTGTCAATCAGCCTTTCTGGTTTTTCTACAGATCTGGTACAACCTAATTGTGCTCAAGTTGTGTGACAAATCTCAGACCACAGGACAGGTTTCTGCAAACATGAAACTCCTCTGACAGAAGCTAAATGAAAGCTTAGAAAAGAAAAGAAAAAGGAAATGAATTTGTAAAGTAAAAAAAAA